CCCCTTCCTGGCATTCGCAAATTAAATTCAATATCGTAAGCTCATTCATTGCATCGCGACCTGACTCCGCGCGTACACAATTATAATGTTATTCTTCTTTTTATAACGTGTTCAATTCATAATTTACGCTATTGATTAAGAGGCCGATTGCACTTATTAGAGGAAAAACTCGTCAGAATCTCGTTAACCTTAAAATTGGAAAAATGCTTTCTTATTCGTGGATTAATTATTCTATTAATAGAGGATTAATAAAAGGAGGAACCGGTTCAATTCAATCGTTTAATTCGAAGAGCAAATGTGATGATATCGGTCAGAATCGTAACCAGTTTTCATTTCACGTGAAACCTCGTCCGGGAGAGAATGCGATCCATAAATAAGTCCAATTGTGGCCTCAACATCTATTATGTAAAGTCGTGCACGCTTTATTTGCGCTAAGATTTTGTAGATTGAGAGTGGCCTTGAGCGGATACTTCCACTCTTATTAACCCTTTGATACCGCAGCCAGTAAATCCACTTGTCGAAACAATTTCATGACTCACCACGTGGACGTTGCATGGATTTTTCACGGAGCACGTGCAAACGTCCGTTATTTCGGTGATTTATCAAAAGGAAAAAAAAAAAGGAGGAGAAAAAAGAGCCAAGCTTGCCGAGGAATTTTAAACTCTACATTACAACTCTTTGTAGGTTTCTTCTTTTGACCTAATATTATTTAGATTTAATCGTCTTAGGAAAGAAATCTAGTTTGACGTAATATAATGTTATTCGTTATATTGTGGTAACACAGAACCGATACAAAATACGCATCAACCTCTCTGCAATTATAGCAATATCAATTGACGTCTTGTTGATACATTTTATGTGAACCAGAGTTGATGAAATATGTGTGTGATATGTGTTATTAAATTATCGTCGCTCGATACTTATATAATTTGAATTACAAATTTTATTAGAAATTGCAATGTGTGTTTTCCAGCAAACATTTTCCTCGATTCAGGGAAATAACAGGAAATAATAATGTTGATTAATCTGATAATGAAATCTTGAAAGATTATCAAAGATTATAAATGTAGCAATTTGCGTATACACAAGCGATTATTTGAAGTATTAAATGTTCATATTAATGGAAGAGACAATTTTGATCGATCGATTTGCGGTTGAAAATATTCGTGGTTCTATTTGTGATAGATCCGGTTCATAAATAATGTGTCATTGAAGCATATTTTCGAACGCATAGAGTTATTCAGTTTATTCGTTAAATTAGCAGAAGTCTTAACAGAGATGCGAAATGATCTCAATTCTTATTACGTAAATAATAAATATATAAATTGGTTATATCGTTGATTAAAATTATTTAAATATTTATTATATATTAGTAGATAATGTAATTTCTTATGTTCAAAAGAATTGTAAGATAGAAATTAAATTTAAGAAAATTCAAAAAAATCTGAAACGTAAAAGCGAAGAGCGAGGAATGCAATTTTTAAATGAAAATATGTGACAAATAAATAAACACATATTAATATGCATGGTATGTGTATGTATAAATTTCACAAAAATATATTACGCAATCGAAAAGAATCTAAAAAGAAGAATTTTTTTTTAATTTTGCATTTAACGATAACTATATAATAATTTTTTAAATAATACTTTGTATAAATTTGTCGTTTTAACGAAAAAGAAAATAAATGTTCTCCCTTGAATATCTATATTCAAAACGAAACATTTGCCATCTGTTGACGCAAGCAATATAAGTTTGCAAAGAAAGTATATAATATATGTTCGTATTCAGCACAATACAGCAAATATTCCAATATTTAATCACTTGCAAATGTAGCATTTAGTAATTCCTCTTTGTATTGTAAAAATTATTGGCAAAAGACATTAATATTTAGTAAAAGAATATTTCATTGAAAACTTGATGTTTGATAAAATTTCAAAAGATTTATATATACTATTAGTTTTACATAAATAACATAAATAACTTATTCATACATACAAGTAAAATATACAATTCAATGTTAATATATTAAATAATAATATATTTCAATGTTAATTTTTTAGTTTACGTTTTAAAATGTGAATGATATATTATTTTCATTAAACTATATATCAATGAATAATTTTTAACAATTATTATGTCAATTCTATATACATATATGCACATATTTTTTAAAATAAAATGAGACTGATATGTATCATCTAATTCTTCAGTTTCTTTATAAAAAAAATTTTCTCAGGAAGCTAATATCAATAAGTGAAAAATGGATGAAATGGATAAAAAGTTAAAAAATGCAGAAACAATAAATATTTTATGTTTTATGTAAAGAAACTATTATTCATACGTTGAATTGTAATAATAAATTAATTCCGATCTTCTTTTTCTTTTTTTTTTAAGAAATGACCAATAGTGAAATATTAAACTAGATCACGTTTATTTTTAAAATATTACATGTCCATTCGATGTAATCTTGATTTTCTCGAGGTTAAGACATATAACCGGATTTCATTAGACGCGAATTTTTACATTGAAATAGAAGAGAACATTTAAAAAGAAAAAAGTCACTTTTTGTTCTGAAACTATTTGCTTTTTCGTAATGTGTAAATGTTATTTGTCCCGATAATTCACGCTTTCAACATTTTAGCATTGAGAGAATCGATCGCTCGAAAATATTAATCAAATAAAGGAAAAATACTATATAATCGTCGACGTATCGAAAAAAAAAGATTCGATATTAATCGATACAAACCGTCTCAAGTAGATCAATGACATGGCATCGATTTTCTCGATTGTCAATGAACATCGCGGTCGATGACACGGAACAAAACAAGATGATCGCATCGAGAATCGATATTAACGATACTGCTGCATAGTGAAGCGATTCCGTGACCTTCGTTTTCGCGTAGGTGAAAAATGAGAAAAACGGAAAGAACTCGATAAATTCAAATCGTTGGAGATACAAGTATCCTCGATTTTATCGCTCGTTGGTGAACGAATTTCGTGCGTCATTACTGTGTGTATATGTTACCATGATATTTCCTTTTCGCGCGTGGCCGAAATAATAAGAAAGCAATAACGTTAAAAAGATTACAAGGCAAATATGATTATAGCTCTGCGTAATTTCCTCTGTATACTTTTTCGATTTTATTTATTATTTATGCTAAGAGCTTTTTATAACCTCTTCACATCGCAATTCCTTTTAATTTTTCTTAGAATAAATTTTCTATCATACTGGATTAAATTTCTCCTCTTCTTATAGATCCCAGCTCTTCTTTCCAGTTTTAGCGTGTCACAAGAAGCTTTCTTACCTCATCTCCGGTGTTGGCGAGTGCTGGTCCCACGGGTCTCTTGCTGGGGCCCATGGGATATGCGGAACAGCGGGGTGCGGAGATACGCGAACGCGGAGGTCACCATTGACGCAAATCCATTTGACGGTCACGTGACCGGCCGCACCAACCTGAACACAATGCGCGCGGACGCCACGACAGCACCACCTTTCATCAAATCCTCTCCTTCGTTCCTGTTTGCAACCGTAAATACGCGGTGAGAACAATTATGTAGAACTCGCCCCATTCACGAAAATAACGACCAATTAAAGAGTTAAGGATCCGTTTAGGAACTGTTTATCGAATGCCAATCAAAATACATGTCTACGTGATATTTTCCTTTTTCTATTATCGAATTTCTCTGAACTATCATCCATTTCAAAGATATATTTTTGACAACGAATATCTGTCAACGCTGTTATAAATATAAACATAAAATTCGATAAAAATTTTTTAATCATAAATATGAATTTTTTGTTACAATATATTTATCTTCATCTTTTAAGCGCTCTATTATATAATAGATTTATTTATTTAAACTCGATAGAAGATATTATACGGAACGGAATAGTTATAAATTAATAGAACTGAAATTAATAAAAAAGAAAAATTTATTCGTTCAAATATTATTTGGTTGAAAATTAATAGCGAAAATGAACTTTTTCTATAATTATTCATAAGTATATTTGAAGATATATGTATGTTTTAGATATAACTATATATAAATTTGTAAAATTAATCTTACAAAAGAAAATTATTGGATAATTAATATGCATATTTTCAATAAATTTTTTTCATTAATATTTTATTAATATTAGAGATTAATTTTTCAATATTTAAATTTAAAATCTTATCGTTAATAATCATGGAATTGGTGCAATATTAATTTTCAAATAATAAACAAAAATTATATTTCTCAAGTGTTATTTTACAACTTATCAGCATTCTATTCACTCAGATTTTATACTTCGATATAACAGATGAGGATCGTTATTCTATGATATGCTTAAGCTATTACAACATCCGCAAAGAATTTTTTAAACAGGTATATTATTAATTTCTTAAATTTATCTTTTTTAAAATATTCTTGTTTTGAAATTTTATAAAATGTTGATTTTTCATATTTTTATATTTTTAATATATATATATATACGAAAGAACTGAAACATATTTTTATATATATAAAAATTTTACATTGAAACCTAAATCATATAAGAGATATTATAAAAAAAAAAAACATGACAAGATTTTTATTCAATTCTTTAAAGAAAGGACCAAAATCGGATTACCATCTTTGGGTAACTTGTGCCATCTCTTTTTTTTTTTTGCTTTTTTCTTTCCTTACGATAGATGACGCACGTATATAAAAAATTAGAATTTATGCGTGGGTACTAGATCATCATTACACCTATTTGTTCAGAATATTACTCAACTGTTAAAGTTTCGTAATTAATTTAATGTATTAGATTAAAATTCTTCCGACAGAATCTTGAGAAATAGAATAAAAGAAATTATTACATTCTTTTTTTTTTATTTTTTTAAAATGATGATTACTAAATGAAATATTAAAATATTTTATATAAGTATTAAATTACAATATATATCATATTATTGTATATCAAAATATTATTTTAAAAAAGATTATCTTTAATTTTTCCTTTTTTAATCTATTTAGTTGTTTATGATAGAAATTAGCGAATGTTCTTGATATAGAAACTATGGAAACTAATTAAAAAAAAAAAAAAAGAAAAAATTGATCCGCAAAAATCATGGCAAGAGAATCTTGATATTCAAGCTGCTAAACGGGTTTGATATTTTTGTACGTTAATATATACGTTCGTGAATTCTGCACATTTTCTGTTTTTCTAATAAAGTACTTTTATTGTGTTTATGTAACGCTTATTTCTTAATTATTTATATTTATTTTTATTAATATTTTTATTAAAATTTTACCAACTCAATAATCATATCTCATCATTCATTGAATTTATAATTTCTTTCAAAATTTATTATTTATAAATTTACTATCTTAATTCAATTTGAAATTTTCGATATTAATTTAATTGATATGTATTCAGTATATATTGTTCATTTAGATATTATTTAGATCCGCATTTCATTCAATTAACGCATAAGATGCGTTATCATCGTACGAATTAAATTGTATTATCTTCAATTATTGAACGCGACGAATGCAACTCGAGAAATAGATATTGTTAACGAAATGAAATAATTTAATTTACACAAAGTCAATAGTTTCATATACATTCATTTTATAAGCAAATATAAATGTAGATATCAATAAATTAAATAATATTTATTATCAAAATATGTTATAAAATATTTATAATAATATATCAATAAAAATATATCTATAAAAATGACACTATATATTTATAAAAATAAAAATTGTATAAATTGATATTACATATATTTTTTTGTGTTATTTTTATATAAAAAATATTACAAATTTCATTAATAATATTATTCACATAATTTAACATTTTTATTTCTATATACAATTATTCGCATTTAAATATTTTATTTTGATTGCTAATTTCAATCATTTTTAATATCTATTGGACTAAGAATTTTTAATACATATTGTAATATTTTAATTAAATCTTCTTCATTTTTTTTATGATCTACATTTAATAACGTAAATTTACCTAAAGCTTCTTGTATACTTTGAGAAAAACCAGCACTTCGTATAATTAATTTTCCTTTCTGATTGTTAGATATTAAAGACCATAACATAGAACCTGCTATTTTAATTTCGTCTAAAGAACCATTTTTAAATATATCGTGTAGAACATTAATGAAATCCACTGAAACATTTTTACTGCGTTAAAAGTAATTTAAATAATAATGTAATGCGATATTAAGATGAATTACATATTAATTTACCTGAACTAAGTAATCGCGATCGATTAGTCATGTTAAACGCAAGATTACGTAATATGGAAATTGCAAGAATTCTGTTAGATGATGAAGAGTATTTTGACAATTGCAATAAAACATCCAACCCATCAACAGCCTGAAAAAACGATGAATTATTCGTAATTATATGAAATAATGAATAATAATTAATTTATATATCAAAGAAATTAAAATATTTTTATAATATTGAGACATGAAAATTTAGATCGTAAATTAAAAATTTAATTTTACCTTTGGCACACATAACTGACCCTCTTCGTAATAAGTAAAATCAATTAAGAATTCTAAACAATATAACTCAACAAGTGGCCATGGTTTTGCCCGTTTCGTCGTAATTGGATGTATTTTCGTAAAAAACTGTAGGAGATTACTCTAAGAAATTTAAATCAATAAATAAGTGTTAATTTAAAAAAAAAAAAAAAACCAATATATATAATATCAAATTACCTTCGAAATCGATACTCTACATTCATGAACATGTATTGCATTTCGCAAAACATGAAAGCCAAAGTGTAACTTATGATTATCAAAGGATTGACCTGCTTTATCTATTTCTTTACAAACTAATTGTATAATAACATGTATAAGAGCGAGAGTATTTGGAGTTTTCCTGAGACCTGTTCCTGGTAAAATAGTTGTTAATGTCAAAGATTGCGCTGCTGAAAAATTAAAGTCATTTAACGATTATTCATTTAATAATAATATTTAATAATAAATATATAAATATTTAAATTTTAATACCTGTAGAACATTTTGTAGTGTAGGTTGCTAATAATTTTAAAGCAGTAATCGTAACTGTTTTATTTAATGCAATCCAAGCCCACAATTTATGTAACACATCTGCTAGTCCAGATTTCATCAAAACTTCTTTAACTTCTATACTACCATATATAAAATTCATTAATAATATTAAAATAGCATTCACGTCGTATAGTAATGGATGAATCTATATAAAAAGATAAGGAAAATTTTTTATTGCAATTGTAAAAATGATACTGGAAATTCTATGTCAATATATGAATAATATTTGCATATTCTTCTTAAAATTATATAAGGAACTCTTAGCTGATTATTGAATATGATAATTGGATGGATATATATTTATAAATTTGATATATATATATGTTACCTTTTTTTCACGATCTATTTGATTTTTGAAAAGTTCAAAAGGTTGCATATTTAATCTGACATACAATTCTTTTAATATCATTAAAACTGTTTCGGATAAATGTTCTCTTAATGCAACTTTTTTGGCTATATTTGATACGCACAATAAATTAGTGAGCGCGCTTGTGATCAAATCCTTATCATCATTTAATTTTTTATTTTTTTTAGATTTATTATAATTATGAGCTATAAATAATTGTAATAAAATATTACAAAGCTCTTCACTCATAACAATTTCCTTTTTTTCAACTTCACAATCTGTTACTTTTTCGGAATTAAAGGGATATCTTTATTTCCATTTGATTTTGATGAATATATATTGACGTTTTGTAAAGAAAGTTTATTAACATCAGATATAATTTCTCCTAAATCATTTCTGTTGCCAGTTAATGATTTAATAGAACGAGTATCTATTACCAATTGTAATGAAATATTACTTTTTCCTAAAGAATCTTTTTGAATTTCCTGAGAAAGTAGAAATGCAAGACAACTTATAGCACTGATACGAAGTTCTGGACTAGAATCTTTCATTGCAACACAAATAGATGAAAGTACAATTTCTGGACCACACAATTCTAAAGCAGTCTGAATTGATTCAAAATGTTGATTTTCTGTTAATGAAAGTATGGCTATAAAATTGAAAATCTCAGTCCAGAGCTTATTTCGTAAAGATATCAACTCAGATGTATTATTACCTGCACATTATTATATCATAATAATTTGATTTATATTGAATTTTTTAAAAAAAGTTTGTCAATTTAGATTTTTTACTTACAATATAAATCATAGTTTAAAAAACAAAACAACTTGTAAAGTGAATCGAGAGAAAAGTTAGCTACAATAGTATATTCATTACTATGTGTAATACAGTTTGTTAAAACTGTACAAATATTAATATACATTTCTAATATATCACAGGAATGTGTTAAATTCTTTTTATTTTCCACATCTTTAGGAATTTCATTGATGCATCTGAAAAATTATAAATATAAATCCTAAAAAAATATTATAATAATATAACAAATATTATACATGCTCTAGATTATACATATTTAATTACCCAATTAAATATTTATCAATAGAATGCTCATAAATTTGATGAACAACTTCTTGTTTTCCTACAAATATTAAATTATTTAATAGTCTACATACAGCTGTTATCAATGATGGTGTTGCTACCAA